CATTTCAAGGTTCTGCCAACATAGAAATGCAGCTGAAAACAAAACAACGTAAGCATGATTTGACTTACAAACTTAGAATAAATTTTAACATAAAATATTGAATCATTAGAATTAATATACTGACATTCAAGAAAACAAGTCAGTATGTTTGTCCAGGTGCTCATCTCCTTCTGAATTAATGTGTACATTATTTGGCATCTCAAAAGGCACATGGTTAATACACCTGCATTTGTGTGACCATTATTGGGTATAAGAAACCGCACGGCGTGATCTTTTAGCCAAGCACTGCTCTAGCACACATCTCTGAATTACACTTAAAACATGATGATGCTGTATGATATTAGAATTCTTCCCTATTTGTATGCAAATTTCACCCACAACTTATTACAGTTATTATAAAGCAGAATTGCCAGCACATTCTCCTCTTCGCTGCACAGCCTGGCTCAAGTAAAGGAAAGGCCAAACAAAGTATGGCAAAGCTCTCAGTCAGTTTTAGGAATTCATTTTAGTCAGCATGTTAGCTAATTGCTGTCCATTCTTACAAAATTTTCCTCCCAATTGGTCTCCACCCAATTTTTGGGGTTTCTGCAGCAGTGATAACACATTCAAGGAGGCTGACTTTGCAATCTTCCTAACCAAGTTAGATAAAACTAGCACAAATTTCTCAAGGAAATATTCTTTCTTTTCGAGTCGTGCAGACTGAAAAGATTTAGGTGAAAGTTTAAATCAAGCTCAGAACTTTGGGATGGTCTATTCACCTTATTTACTAGTCTAGATGAATTTACATTTCAATATCCTTTGACACTGTCTGAACAGTTTTCCTTGACCAAAAATAATGTTGCTTACTATTGTATACGCTCATGAAGTACATCCAGCACCAAATAAAAGACATCTTGTATCCTGATACTTCTTTGTACCAAATTTTAAAGCTGCCTCATCACTGCCATTTACCCTTCACTCTGGTTCAAATCCAGCTGTCCGGCAATGCACGAAGTTGCTCAAGAGTTGATTGCCAGCATGAGCTCATTACATGTTCAGAAAATCCAGCACAACTCTTCTCTCTTTTACATGCCCTCTGCAGGCAGTTCCTGTTTCAAGGATGTTGTTACACAATTGCTGGCTCAGTTATTATTTTAGTTGTAAAAGAAAAGGAAAAAAAAACAAAACTATTTTAAGAGAAGAATTGATGCAGGGCGATGCTGAATACTTTGGTGGATGAAGCGTAGGTGGATGTCACACTTTCTACAAACATACACATCTTTACTGGTTATACATCCTAGGAAAGGTCATATTCTCACTTATTTCTTCTAAAATACAGGCACAGACACATGTGATTTAATAAATTATTCAAATCTGCCGACTTCAAGTTTACTGTTAAAAGGGGCATAAGAGATGTATAAGCCAGCAGAAGATCTGACTATATTTCATTTGTATTCAACAGTGACAGGGTAGGAAACATTGAAGGCGTGGGCCTTATATAAAAATATATTGCTGTGTATACTGTGTCACCTATTAAAAATCAAGTTCGTTGTTGCTTCCTACCCCATACTCCAATTCCAAAGCAGGGACAACTATCCCAAACAGAATATTGGTCTTGCTGCTCCATAAACAAAGCCAGGCATTCAGAGCTAGCTCAAGGGAATGTCTGCAAGACACTTCATTCTGCTGCATATACTTATCATGGTTGCTAGCAAGGAAAAAGGACATTTTACGGGAATTATGCATTTTAGGGAATCAGGAATTGTATGAGAAGTCTGTATGTTTTCTTATATTAGCCTAATTACTCCATTAATGAAATTATATATATATATATATATATATTTGAGCAGACTATAGAGTTGCCTGCATGTCTGTACCATTTTCACGTGAATGACAATCTGTTTTCAAATGAATTGACAATTTCAATACTATCAGGTCAAGATCCACTTCTGTCTAACTTCTGTCTAGACAGAGCAATTCCATTGTCCTGGATCTATTCACTCTCTCAGGAAACTGTATTCTAAAGCAATCATCCCTAAACCACTGGGAAAACATACCTTTTACTAACTACCAGATGCCTTTAAATACCCAGTTCTAATCTTTCCATTTCAGCAGCTAAGCCAATTTCAAGTTGTGACCAGTTTTAATGTCCTTAGATCAATTGGGAAAGGTCCCCTCTTTCCATAACTACTAAAACTAACAGGAGAAAAGGAAGCCTTAAATTGTACTAGTCTCGGTCTAAACAGTCCACAATGTTTCTTCACATTTGGGATTCATTCCTTCCATCCTGTTCAGTAAAAGCTGCAACCTTTCTATGGGATAAGCTGAAGTGAGAGAGGACTGAGAGGGCATTTATCAGGGTGAACATGAATACTTTCCTATATTCCTAGTTGGTTTTATTGTGGGGAAAAAAAGACGGAAAACACCAAAGACCATTCGCAAAGTGCACGGTGCCACCAGAATCACCAGAATATCCAGAATGTGGAATAGACGGTATTTCTGGAGTGAAATTAAAAAGAAACAACAACAAAAAGTTTGCTTAGAATGAACATAGAATACTAGGCCAATTTCGTCACCTATTAGAAGCACAAAAGTAGCCTAAGACTCTTAGCAATATGGTCAAGGGGTACTTGTACCTTTGGAAAATATCTTGAGAGTATTTATATTACCCCTCTACAATACCTTTTATTTTCCAACATCTACATAAATCAGAGTCTGAGCTGAGTTCACTGGGTACCAGAATAAAACCAATCCCCTGTTGCGAAAACTATGAACCATCCTGCAGTAGCTCCAGCTTAAGCCAGCACCTGGTCCCTAAAATTGTAGGGGGTATTAGCAGTCACCACTGTCTTTTCTCCTCTGAGGCATGTCACTCTAAAACAGAGCCAAAAGCACACCTAATGCTTCTTTCTTTAGCTGATGTACACACACAGAAAGTGTAATCAACACTGCTCTTTAAAGAGAACAGTGGTGTTTAACATTAATGCAATGGGAAATGTTATGCTCTCTGCTTCCAAACTCCAATGAACAAATACACTAAGCAACTAATGTAACCCTAAATCTCTTAACTAAAAGCAATAGTTCCAGTATAGGTATTGTTAATTGCCTTAAATATATATTTGAGTTGAAGTACATACACATTGCTGTTAGCTTCTTTTAGGTCCTGTGCTTTCAATGATGACATTTTCTTCAAGTTGAAAATGCTAGTATTTAATTATAAATTATATCAACATTATGTTGCATATTGCATTTGTAGTATTGGACATCCAGAATTCATTATCATTCACTGTCACTAGGAAACTCATTGACAACTTGTTTTAGCATGAGCGAGCTAAAATTTTGAAGTTACTCTCCTTTAAAATAATTAAAAGGAGAGCATTCCCCAACACTTGTGTCTTTCTCTGTCTAGACACATTACAGAAAACATTTAATTTCATTACGGGAGATACGTGTAAAAGGGTTTCTCATCTTCAGCGTTTGTCACTTCAGGATTTTGATAGCTTAACTGTAAGCTTTAATGAATATGCATGCAGCTGGCCACTCTGATTGCAGAACTAAAGAAAGGTGTCTACAGTTCCAGTCATTACATATTAGCACGAGAGTTACAGAAAACCATGATCACCTACGCTTCAGGTGATGTTCAGCTTTGTTTTCACATGGTTTCACAAAGCATTAGGTATTAAAGCTGCTATTAAATGGTGAGAAGTGCACACAATCTACACATTACACTACGTTCAGGGCTTTTTCCTCTTTCCAAGGATCTCAGAGCACCTGAAAAATATGAATCCCCACTACTCCTGCAATATAGCTACGTAGATATTACTTATACTGGATTCTCTGTGGAATTGTGCATATCCTTGCCACTGAACTGATTCAAAATAAAGTTTAAGTGATGGCTATGAACTCAAACACTGGATTGGTGATAGAAGTACGGAGAGATCCCAGGAGTACAAACTCATGGAAAGGAACAAGTCAGCCTTTGCCAGAGAGATCTTATGAAGGTCTCTAGTGTCTTAATTACTTTGTGTCTATCACCTTATTTATTCTTTTTTATTCTATAGTTTTCAGCCTGGAGCAGACACCCAGAACTGTCTACACTTCTTCGCCACATTAAAAACAAGGCAACTGTTACTTCTGTGCTTGTGCAGATTTACACTAAGATCACTGACATTACAATGATGAGGGTAATACAAGAACCAGGATTCATTTCAGACAAGAAAAGTGAAACAAGAAAAGAAAAACAATAAGAAAATCCTCAGAAATTTAACAGATTTCTTAAGATATCATATCCTGATAAATCAATGTTTTAATAATTTACAAGACAATTCTAGCTGATCCAGTTCTCTTGTCTTGCTATTTTGCCCATACTGACACAACCCAGAGTTAAAGGGACTGCCTAATTTACTTCTCCTTCCCTATAACAGGCAAGAGGATATAACATGCAGTTCAATCTCCTCCATACAAGTACTTGTGAAATCTTCTGTAGCTTCTGCCACAGAAGGTATAGGTTATTCTGTAACATGCAGAATTGGAATATGCCCCTATAAAATAATGCATCATTTCATAAAAAAACACATCATATCATAAACATTCCCAGCAAAGAGAATTAAGCACACAGTTCTCAGAACTGTTTCATTGCTTCTTGTTCTGAGTTAAAAACACACACATCTCCCTTGTATACTGCTTACGCTGCAACTTCAGACAAATTATCCCATATGATCTGTAATATGGTTAATACAGTACAATCTCTTAGGATGAAAAACTCCCATAAGTGAAAATCCTTAAAACAAATATCAATAGCAAGCTGTTCCAAACAACAAGAGCTGTTTGTTCTCCTTGAAGGATCTCCTAATTCCACTGTTATCTGAAATTCTTCCCAAAACAAACTTAAACACAAAAAACCCTGAGCAGCACCCCAATAAAAACAAAAATTAAGAAACCCAAAGGTTCTTGATCTCATCGCTATGTTCCTAAACCATGACAACAGCAGCATGCAAAGCCAATTGCATACAAAGCCTTACCAAGTTCAGTTATGTAGGTGTTTCCTTCTGAAGGTAAAGGAATGTACTGATTAGAGAAGAAGCTGCTTCCATAACCCAGGACAAAACCTTCAAGTTTGCTGTTTTGACTTGGTCGAAGATACTTCATGCAAACGGTGTCATCTGTTGCATTGATCTGAACTTTCAGGCTCTGTCTTTTCACTAGGAAAAGAGTAAAAATAAGAGAAGATCAAAATGTATTATTGTGTAACTATGTATTCAGTAAAGGAATATGACAACATGTAGGACAGTTCAATTTGTTAATTGCAATTAAGAGTTGCAAGGTAGAGTCTCAAGGCAACAGAGTGTATATCAACTATCGTGTAAAATTGTTTTCCAATATGTCCATTTCTTCCCCTCATTAGTTTAGTATTAACTATCACATCTACGATTGCAGTAGTAGAAGAGTACATGAAGTAAATGAAAAAATGCAAGTATCTTTTCCTTTAAATACAGGAGTTATAGCAGTATTATAAGACCCACTGGTGACAAAATTGCCGATCAGGAGATTTTTTTCTTAGTTAAGAAGAAATTTAAAATGATGTTTTAACATGAAGTTAGCCATATTACAGAATTAGAGGATGAATAGTAACTATGTCCAAATAAAAATGTTACAGTTATGATTTATTTATTTTCTGCTGTGTTCATCAGGAAATGTAATTTTCCAGTTGGAATTACACCAGGACACCTAGACTAACAGAAAAACTCAATGCAAAATTACCAAGAAGTTTTTCTTTTTCAATGTTGAATTTTATGCTTTCCAGGGGAGAAAGTAACAAAACTTTAACTTGTAACAACATAGAATGAATTCACAACAGAATAACCAACTTTATAGACTGCACAAAAGTGTTTCTTCCTCTTTTTTCTTGGGTGAGGTAGGATTGGCTTTTTCTTCCCTAGTACTTAAAACTTTATTATTCCCTTGTCACTTTTAGGTTTATCAAATTTTGAGAACTGTTGACTGACAGTGCTCAAGAAAAAATAAAAAGGAACAAAACAACACACAACAAACTAAAACAAACAAAAAACTAATGATTCTTCTCCAGTAGAATCCAGTAGAACATTTAGGGTTACTATTTTTCCTTGAAATATATTTTTTTACACCAGACAGGTTTTCAGGCATTGCCTGCAACCATGAAGGTTGAAAATACTTTTCCAGGGAGAAAACAAACAAACAAAAAAACAATTTCAAAAAACCCTTTCACCCTTTCCTTCTAAAACCTAAAGAAAACCAATGAGAGACATGTCGTTAAATAACAGGGTAGAGCAATAGAGCAATAAACAAATTCCTTTTCTTTCTGTCTCTTTTCCTTCTCTTCCTCTCTCCCCCCTCCCTTTCCTCCCTCCTCTTTCTCCTTTCCCCACAGGTAATTGTACAGTGACGTTCAAATTTTCTTTAGACAAGCATATATTGATTCTTTGCAATCACACTGCAGCCCTTTTTCTGAAGAAAATAAGATGACAGGAGATGCTGAGAGGCCACAGTCCCCATTCTCTAAAGATGATTTAGTAGTAGTGATGAGCACCTGCAGTTGTCTGCACACTGATTGAAAAAACCGAAGCCAAACACTTCATGCCCCTTTCCTTTAGACAAAGGAGCACACAAGTAAAACTGATGGAAAACATGTGCCTCCGATTAGACCTTTTCTTTATCTGAAGACTGATCAAGTAAAAGCACTCCGCCAGGAAGCCATCCCAATTTTCCAAAGGCAACTCTGCCAGATTCTGGAAGACTGCAGGAGCTGAAGAAACCTCAGCGCCCTGCCGGTTCCAGCAGCATGACACCGGCCTGGGGGAAGGGCCACGGCTGCTTCCTCACCTGGGCGAGATCCGAACTTCTTCTGTTCTCACTCCGGGAGACTCCCAGCGTGTGCAACTTTCAGCATCAGCAAGGCTGCACACAGCAGAAACCAGGCAGAAATCCCAACAGGCTTCCAAGCCCTCTTAATACGCTCCATAAAGGTGCTTGGTAAAGTCTAGACCCAAGTCTAGGATTACTGTCTCCAACTGACAGCAAATTACGTTTGTTAAACATTATTAATCTGCTGAACTCTGAATTACAATACCTAACTTTGGAGAACAAAGCATAAATGAAAGATGGTCTCCTTTAAATATTCATGTCTAAGAAAAAAGTAAGGCTTACAGTATTTGATTCAAATATAACAATAAGATTTCTGTATTAAAACTTTTAATCAGACCCAAAAACAGACTAAAACAAAGATCTATTTTCATTTTAAATATACAATAATTTCACATGATGTTTTTTTCACCATCATTTATACATAAATGCCTCACAGTTATATTTTATGCTAATTTGAAGAGCTAATTCTAATTCAAGATAGAATTCAGCTAGTTTTGACCCAGTTAGATACTGTGCCTTATTCGTAAATTGTCAATTATAGTGACATGGGAGCTTTATTTCAACCTAAAAATTTTGAGTGAAGTTTCTAACAACACAAAGTCTAATGGGATCCCATGAGCAACATCTCCAAGGCAGGAACCTTAAGACCTTTTCTTTATACCTAGCACATCAAAACAACCAACCCAACTTTTAAGCTCAAAGCCAGTTCTAGTGCAACGTAAACAGAAATAATGAACTTTTAAAAATTGAGAAGGCAGAATAGAAAAGGAAAATAGGAGTCTTATTTAAAATTAATAGATTTTATCTAAAATTCTTGTCCTGTGCACCCTGTCTCGACAGGGGAAGTCCTTTCCTTCTGGTTCACTATTAAGCACAGGATCCTTTCACTGATTTTCGGTATTATAACAAACACCACAGAGTCTTCACTGTATTTTGGGAAACTTTCTTTCCCTCTCCTTGGAGAGCTAGTTATGGTCTAAGCTCCGTACTCTCCTTAACATATGCCCCAGAGGAAAACCATCTCTTGCCCCCTCTGTGAGCTCCTGATAACCACTTCCTTCCCTCCACACAGCACAAGTTCCCCTCGCAGAGGGATCTCTGCAACGACCCACTTCTCCCCTTGCTGCCTGACCCAAAGAGCAGCACAGGGCAAGGCAAACCAATGGCTTTCCTCATTATTTAGCTGCACCTATTTAATGGAAGGTAACTGTGCTAGAGCAGCAACACAGTTCACTTCGTATGAGGGCACTGCACTCCCTCCATGAGCTCCACATGTTGTGGCACCACCAGAACTCAGGGATGAGCCATGACAGCTCCAGCAGTGACCACCAGAGGTGAGGTGGGCCTGTTCCTGACGTGCACGGACTGAAGTGCTGCAACCAAGGCCAAAGCCAGCTATAAACAGGAGATAATGTAACAGTAATCTGTTGATCCCTGAGCTCACATTACATGAGCTGATGGGCAGCAGTCATGTTCTCTCAGGTGAGGTGCAGTCAGCAGGGTTGCAACCAGCTCTCAGGTTGTCCTGACAGGAAAGTCCACTCCACCGAATCCCATACTCTCTTCTACCACTAGGGCCACTGAAGCACTAAAGGTTCGTGACTGAAATCACTGACAGTTTGCTAGGAAATGTAGCACTTGGGTGCCCAGGAGCAGAAGGCTACAGAGAAGGAGCCCAAACCCAAACAATGACAGGGACAGAGGGCAGCGAGCAGGCACAGAAAGCACTGTCTGTCTCGGCAGAGCCACCAATGCTCTACCATGCTTGGCACAGACTCCTGGTAAGGAATGGCCTCTCTCCCCAGAGATGGTCAGCAAGCTACTCAGTCATCGGGTTGGCCCTCTAGGAAGCCAGGCAGCCCTTGGGCCTGCCAACAGCTCAGCCCTCCAGATCATTTCCAGAAGGTCTATGAGGCAGACCCGTGTGGTCACCAGGAATCCATGTGGAGACAAGAGGTCTGCACACAGCTCAAGGCTACTTGCTGCAGGAACACTCCTGGACTATTCCAGAGAGAGCCAGCCCCACACAGCACAGACGTAAGGGACTTTACAGCAATCAGCCTGGTGAGCGGGGACGGCTCTTGGAAGCACATTAGCAAAACAGGTTTCATTTGTGTTGATCCCACAGTACTTTAAACAAGTCCCAGAGAGAGCAGGCATTCCCGTTCTGAGTAATAGCATCTCCGTCTTGGCCACCACACAGATGAACATTCATTAAGCATGATGGAATAGTCAAAGGAAGTCACAGGAACTTGCAAATGTATTTGATTTTGAGAAAATACCCTTGCCATGTCATGATTTTAGGACACCACCACCACCACCATCCCGTCTTCTCAGTGAAAGAGTAGAGTGATAAACTAGAGTCCCTCAAATTCCAGTGCAAAAAAAACTTTAAAAGCATCTTACAAAAAGAAAAGAACGCTTTCAGGCACAGAGCAAGGCAAGGTTGAATTTTCCTAACTCATACTCACTCGTGTCAGTTTTTGGCATGCGTTATTGAAACTCTGCTCTTAAGTATTTGCATTTGTGGAGTGATTCTTTCACCTTCAGGCCATCACTAAATGGAAGATTCTGGGATCCATAGCTACCTCTGAAATACAATCTTTCCCTCCTAGCTTGCCAGCAGAAATTCCACACTGGTCTGCAAGTATTTTCTTCAACAAAAGTCGATCGATGGCCAAAACCAGTATGACAAACAGCGCAGCACACGTCTGAACTAAACACACGTTAACTGCATCAGACCTCTTGCAGTTAGAGATCACTCCAGGGAAAGGATGCTTCGCCTGCAAGGGGAACGACTGTTAAAGGCAGCCCGATGAAATCAGCTACATTGTAATGGAACCAACCCCTGGTAACTCTTTTTAAAGAAGAAAATGGCTATAAAATGGCCTGAAGAATCCAGTTGGGAGCACCAATAGTTTGACTAGTTGGAAGGAAAGAAAAGAGGAAAAAAAAAAAGAAAAAAAAAAAAAAGCAGTCATGAATAGGCAACAGGAGCCAAGAGCAAATGAACACTGAAACTTTAGAAAAAAATAGCTATAAATGACATAACTGAAATTCACATCTTTAAAATGCAAAAGCAGCTACTGAACATAGCATATAACAAATATCCAGCTGAATATTTTGTATGAGCTTTGGATTCACTGGTGATTATCTGGAGTATTTCCTTTTTCTCATCTCTTTAATTATTCATGGTGCAACACAGGAGGAGAAGGGAGAATTCAGAGGCACTGCTACCAACCACCTCTTAAGCTTACCAGCTAGCTCTACCTGATGGCTCATATTTTGCTACAAGACAGAG